TTAAGCATAGCATAAAAACCAAATTTTCAAACCAGAGGAGCAATCCTTTTACCAGATGAATTTTCAAGAATTCTAAGGGATTTCAGGCCATAATGAGAGGTGCTACAGGTGTTAAATTTTACAGGTTGCCACATGAAAAGGTGAACACTGCAGAATGATAAAAGTTGATGTATAAAAATTGTTCTCACTGACTTATATTTCTTAGTGTTTAAAACAGCTTATGTCACACTTAAAATAGTATGTTGTCAATGTAATTGTTTAATAAATAAATTATATTTTCCTGTAGGAAGTACTCAAGTTTCTCAGAGAACAGTACATGTTACAACTGCAAGAAAGAGGTGCAGTCCTTGTAGAAGGTAACTACAAGCTCTCAGTGAAAAATGGCTGAAATTGTAAAAATCCTGTACACAAGTACATATATTTTTAAATCAATTTTAATACTTTCCATTTCAAGGAGTAACCAAGAAGTTTAACTAACTTCCTTCTTTTTGCTCTGCATTTTGAGCAGTTTTTACTAGATCAGCAGGATTCTTAGTGGGTTGGGAATTGTTTATGTTAAAGAGACATCTCTAATTTTGGTGGAAATTCCAAGAATTCACAGGTTATTTTCTCTACTGTGTACTTATGGTTTAAATTATCTTCAAAAACTTTGGAAATGGGTGATTGTGTTATGAACTATCTGGAAGTTGCCATGAATATTGCACATGAATAATTGTGTTGTATGACGGACTGAGTGAGTGATGACTTCCAAGGCACAGGTTATTATTTCTTAAGTCATGTACCAAATATTGTTACATTTATTTATTATAATTTTTTTGTTTTGCATTTGTCTGTCAGAGCACCCAGAATCCTCTTCAAGTGAGGAGTTGCTATTTGCTACAACGCGAGATGGTGAAATTACAAGTAAGTTAGGCTACCTTGTTTACATTCTGATACTGTTTTATGAATTACAGTTCTGAAACATCTTGAACTTTGGGATAAGGACAGATTTTTCTTGAAAAAACTACAAGAAAATTTAAATATTACAAACACCTTAACCATAGAGCCTGAATAGATGTAAGAATTAAGACCATGCTCTAAACATTCAGCCAAATATTTTTCCATGCTGCCTGACCAAACTCAGTCATTAAGTATTATCAAATTACAACTAAGTCTTTAAATTTGGAAATAACATTTGTGCCTAAATAAGGCACAATTATAATACATTGTAAAGGCGTGTTTTGACAACTGCTATATTTCTGCAAGTCAAAGTAAGAAACTCACAATTCATCGAAAAGTTCACCTAGTTTTATTTTAAGTTTAAGTACCCCATTAGAATTCATTGTTCTCTAGAAATGCAACAGAGCCGTACAAGTGCGTAGCCGCATGCCTTTTTTAGGACTGGCTCAAGTCAGCTTTCACTTTGGCTTTCTTTAGGATTAGGCAGTGAGGCTACACTAGTCAAATGATAATCTGCATGTTATTTTGGTGAAAAAGTTTCAAAATGATAGGGATTCCTTTAAGTTGTGGTTTCCTTTTACGACATTGAGAAAAGGGATGATTTAATTACAGTACAATTCTGATAATGATATACATGTACATGTGATTACAATGATTAATGGAAATGTATTGAAATATAATGACTGTAATCTGAAGCCAGAAATATTGTTAATGATGAGAATAATAAAAATATCTTAAAGAAAACATTGGTAAAGATATTTGTCACTCATAAAAGATTAAAATAAACCTTAATTTGTCGTGTTTGTAACATTCCTCCAGACACTGAGAACAAGTAGACTAAGTAAACATCGCCATTTAGAGTGCATTTCAATTAATTGTCTTAAAACCAAAGCCAAAATAATCCAATCCCCTAATCAGAGGTAAGGGAAATAAAGCGCTTTTAATTTGAGTGTCGTAAAACCGAATCCAAAGTTATTGGAACAGACAGTCAGATCAAGGGAAAATTATCACAAGTAGATAATGAGAGGGCAGAGTAAAATCGAGTAAACTGCGTAAAAAAGCGCGGGAAGACGCTAGTGACCAAGATGCGATTGGTTTTAGTTTTGCATCTGATTGGTTGAGAGAGTGGTGCGAGTTTTCTGGACCAATCAATGACGAAGGACATTAATTGTAATCCCAGATTACTTTCAAGAACTAATGGAAAACGCGAGCGTACTATTGTAGTTACTTGCTGTCTTCCATGTAAATTGTCTTGGTTGAGAGGTGAGACATGCAAATTTAAAAGTGGATATCACTCCATTTATGGATAGATTTACTGTGTTCCTCGATCAAAATAACTTCTGTTTTAATACGTTTGGCTTGGGCAAAATGTCATGTGATGGATCCAAAAAGAAGCGAAATTGGAATGTTAACCTTTTTTCCAAAAATATCGTGCTAGATTTTGAGCAGAATGTCAGAAAAGTTACTGATATCCACTTTTAAATCTGCGTTTCAGGGGAAAGAGAGTACGTGGATCAAGTTAAAAACGAGAGAAACATAAAAGCGGATAGAACTTTCAAGCTTCCGCCGATCATCCAAGCGGCAGCAGCGAGACCGAAAAACCGCTCGGTTGACGAGTCGGAAGAAAACTTGCTTAGAGGACAAAAAGCTCGGAAATTTGAACAGGAAAAACCAACGCGAATTTTTGAGCAAAAGTCCCCAGTGAGGACGGTGAAGCCCGAAGCAAGATCACCGAGGAAAGATGTTTCTTTTTATGGTCCAGAGAAGAAGGACGGGAAAATTCAGTTGAAACCATTGGAGGGAAAACGGCGAAAGGGTGAAAAATCAGATAACTACTTGGAAAATTCGAACAGTAGTTTAGAATTGGACAAAAATTTATACATTGTGGATAGCCATGGCGATGGAAGAAGAGAGAAACGCGAGAAAGTTAAAACGAAAAGATTGCCGAAGCCTGAAAACCCTCAGAAAAGGTTGCCTGTAGTGGGGAGCTCTGTTAGTCACAGCGATGCAGATGTGTCGACTTCGCATCAAGACTCAAGCAATGTGAAAGAAACTGCCTCTTTGGAGCTCCAGAAAAATCAACTAACTGTAGATGAAAAAGCTTCTAAAGAAACTAAAAAACCTAAACATCCCGAATATTCAGGTACTCATGGATTATATAGCAAAGGGTCAAAGCCATTGTCTGTATTCGAAGGGGACATGGTTGCTGTCAGAGTGCCAGAAAAGCTATACATTAAGGGACAGCCCTGTCTGGGCAAAGTAACATCATTAGCTGACCACCAGGGATTGCTCACGGTACACTATTTCACGGGTAATTATGGAGGCCGGTGGAGACCGATGATGAGCAGAACAAGCCCGTATCTGAGGAAGGTGGCTGCCGATAATGTTCTATGCAAGTTTAAATTGACTACTGATGGCCGTATGTCGCCTATCACGCAGAAGAAGTTGAGAACTATTGTTGATGATCAAAGAAATGAAAACAGTGACCCCAACTGAGGCAGAGTTCTGGAAATGATCTACCCAGGAACCGAAAAGTTTATAGGAAAGGATACAGTGCAACTAGACTCGGAACAACTTCAGCTCGTAGGAGGAGAAAATCAACGTTCCTAGCCCTTTTTAATTTTATTTGGCATGTATCTTGATACTAGCAATTATTTAAAATATCTACTATGCTTTTGGATACTAATATTACTCTCTAACTTTTATTTGCGCTCCTAAAAAGGGATTTTTTTCCGACAACAAGTCTGAAAATTCGGTAGCGAGTCGAGTAAAACAAGGTATTAGCATTAACAAGAAAGGTATTTTCACGCTCTCTAGTCATTTAGGAATTTTTTGTCTTGATCATGAATGTCTCTCAGATGTTAACTTTTTTAGAGCTTTGTTTCCTATAATAGATTAACAGCATCCTTAGAGAAGATGAAAATTATGTGAAACGTTAAATAGATGTGAATTGAGATTAGTAATCATTTAGAATATCTACAATGCTTTTAGGATACTCAATAACTCCTCTGGGTAGGATTTTTGCCCCACGAAAAGGGATTTTTTTGTTTTATTTTCTCGACAACAAGTCGTAAAATTCAATAGCGACCAGAGGAAAATAAGGTATCGAAATTAATAAAAAAAAGTATTTTCACGTCCTCTAGATACTTAGGGACTTTTATTTTAACCATGAATGTCTCAAATGATAACCTTATAGCTTTGTTTCCAGTGATAGATTAATAGTATCTCTGGAGCATAATAAAATGATGCATAACAATTAGTACTAAACATGACAAAAGTTGAAAATTAAGGAAGAGCTACATTTCTCTAATAATTGTTTCAGTTATCATGCATAGCGCCCACAGCTTTACATACCTTAAATCAGTAATACATACATATTTTTATAATGATTAACTCAAAGTATACCTTTATATCAAAATATATAGTCATTAGTCTTTGAAAAAAGCGTGTAATTAAAGCTGTTATCGCTAGATGTATATGTAGTAGTATTTTGATAGAGAATACTGCTAACTTTAGTGAACTTCATAATTATATCACAGTGTGCTTGATTGGCACAGTGTCTGTTTTTGTTCAGCTAAACGTGCATTTCTGAATGTGAAGTCACTGTACACGACAGGGAATTTAAAAGAAGAGTTGATTTTATCGGCTGAGTTGATGATGTATATTGGCCACTGTAAAGAGTTTCTAAAACCGACGTTTCGAGAGAAAAGTACTAACGATCTTGTTATACTCCGAACGACACAGCACCATAGTTTCTTTAGAAACACACCTCTCTTAGGGAATGTATTTGGTCGTTACTTGACAAGTTTATACGCCTTCTGTTTAGTGTCCAGAACACGATCTTTCTACAACCTCTCTTTGTTTAGACCATGCGCACTTTGTTTTTGGGGAGGAGGGGCGGATCGCGAATAACACGCAGACAGGGAGAGCAGACACGCGCCAGTAAGCTCTCTCTGTCGTTAGCGTGCCTGTCTAAACAAGGGACCATTATTTATCGCCCGGGGACTGGAAGATTTTGGTTGTCCCCCTCCCCTCCCCCGTCATTGGCAGTTAAATGGCAATCGATTTTCTATGGTCCTCACTGGATACTCAGTTGACGACGATTTATGTAATCCCCTGTAATTTCCTCAAATGTCCTCCACCACCCGCTCTCAGTCGATTAATATTGACTGTTCCCTAATTACTCGCACTTTCCGGTGTAAACATTCGCGCGAGGTCGAGTCGTGTTGGACAAACCTCATCCTAGCATTTCCGTCTCGGCCAAACCTGTACCCTACAGTAAGTTTTGATGTCGATTCTTTCCGGTCAATTTTAATCTAGGTAAGAAGAATGCCTCATCAACCCACCGGAGAAGAAGTAAAACAGATTCGAAGCAGCTTCCAGGACTTATAAACACGCCGGTAACATTCCATCCCCCTCCGTCGCGGTCAGACGTTTTACGGCGAGAATATGACAGGCAAAGGATGGAACTGCAATCAAGCAGCGGACAGACAGTGGATATCCGAAGCAGGGAACTGACAGGGTCCGGTAAAAATGCATCTAGGCTAAAGAAAAGCAGTCCTAAATCGGAGAGGTATGGCCTGACCTGTAAATGAAAACTGATCAACGTCAGTAAGCAACTGCGCACCTACCACCAGAGGCGTCCCAAGCTCACGTCTCGAAATTCATGAAAGCGTCTCGCGGTGTGTGACGCGGTGTTAAGTTACGCAAGGAACCACAGGCGGCCCAAGCTCCAGGTGTGAGAAGATCATCTTGCACAATAACAGTCATGACAGAAATATAAGAGTTTATATGAGAATATTTACGACCACTCATCTCACAGCTGGAGCTTGGGTCGCTTGTGAAGGGACCGTTGAGAATTTGAACGCGCTCCAAGAAATAGTACGGGGAATGGAATATGGTCGACTGACAACGCTAAATATTCCGAAATATGAACATTTTACACGCAAGATTAATAGAACGTACTCAATCCTTGTGTGTCCGTTGTGGTTTCTCGTGTTTAGGTGTTTTGGTGTTTTGTGTTTTGCCGTTTTGGGCTTGTTTTGCCATCACTGTTATTCCTATTATATGACGGAGTCAAGCTTGACTCTGTCTTGTAACAGGAATAACAGTGGATTCATTCCATATCTGTGGAAATTTCCTTGAGTTTCGTGAATGTTCGTTTTTCCAGTCGAGCTTCATTCTCTCTCTCCATTCCCTTCTCTCCCTCTTCTCTGTATTTAAACGCGACGCATGTGATCTCTAATCTCTATAATCAGCCAATCATGTTCAGAGCCTAGTACTTGACAACGACGGTGGAGTTAAGCTTTAGTTTTGAGCCCTATGTTGTTTTCGGTTTGTTGCGTTTTTTTTTTGTTTGGAGTTAAGACTTCTTTAAGGTTTGATTGACGACAAAATTTTGTATATTGGTTGTTATATTTAATTACACCTTTATTGACAAAGATTTTGGAAAAGGAGTTTTACGATATGTTTTTATCGATAAATTGGCCTTGCTTTTCATAAGTGTGTAACTACAGAAAGACTTGATATAGCCCGCAATATGTTTTCTTCAACCAGAATGTCTTAGTTGTCAAAGTCACTGAGGCGCTAACTAAGTTTTACTAAATTTAAGTTCCAGATCAGCTCGGTTCCAGTACGACGCTAACGCGACTCCAACATTCCCAGATTACGAAGCTCAGTTGGCTGAGCAGCAAGAAATGGCGATTTTAGCTGTGATGAATGAAAAAGAAGCCTTGATTTTGCAGAAAAGGAAGTAAGTTAGTGCTATTGAAAATAATTAGCAGAATTAGATGTTTCCTATTATTAGTTTAGTAACACTTTGCGACTATGCCCCTTGCCCAGCCCGGATGTTCAACATGTTAAAAAATATTTTCATAGGGATGTTTTTAGAGCATTTTTCAATAGGTGTCGTGCAATAGCATGTAACTGGCATTTCAGGTTGTTTTATTGTTATGTCAGGTTGTTTTATTGTTATGTGGTATGATGGTTAAATGCTATTGGTGTGTTTTTGGGGGTTCTCATTGGTTCATTTCGAATCTCGTTTTTAATCGGTGGCGTCGGTGTTGTTCCTACAGAGATCCCCTCGGTCACTGATCGGCTGTAGTTATGTTTGAAAAAGTATACCAACCTGGTATCAGTTACCATGTCTGACAATTCAAGTCACTCTTGTTAGTTATTTTAAATTGTTTTCTGAATAATTTCAGAACGCAAAGGCATCATGATAGAAAAAAATCTCTTTGAGCTTGAATTTGTTTGAAAATTCTCTCCCTTTTTGCTGTAGGGATAAAAAGGCCCTAGATGACTGGCGGGAAAAGACTAAACTCCTTCGTCAACAAAAGCAGAGGCTTTCCGCCGTAAAGGGCTCTTCAACGGGTAAGGCTTCCAGCAATTTCCACCAATTCGTTTGTCTCTCAATTACTTAGACGCACTAAAAAAAAAAGATGTACCTGGTGCTTGCAGTATTCTGAACGCTCTCAACCATGATATGAACTTTACGTGAGATTTGTTACTCAGGTACGAGTTCATTGAAGCTTAGTTGTTAGAATATCAAACTGCGAAATCGTATGGTGCAGAGTACTTCTGTTAGGAACAATCACTTAGTGTAATGTAAATCTAGACTTGTTTCGGCACTCAATCAAAAACTTCTTTATCGCTGGTTGTGTTTTGTTTCATTATAGTTGAAGTAAAAGCACCGTATGGAACCGAAAAATCTGCCAAGGAAGATGAAAAGGTAGGGTGGTATTATGAAGCGTTTCGCTCCTGTAATGGTGTTTTCCATCAGTAGAAGTTGGAAGTTAACATGAATTCAGTAGACATTAAACTGACAATAAATTGCTGTGTGGACTAAACTATAGTCAGGAGATTTCGTAACCATGTCTTGGTTTTTAAAACGACAGATATTCAGGGGCGTGCTGAGAGATGCAAAGTATAATGCTATGCTTCTTTCGTGACTTGTAAGAGGTTGTGATCTTGTGGTAGGCGAGCGGTGTTCTGTCACGTAGATTCGACGGTATATGTGCTCATATTCTCAAGAGAGATTCAGGTTCCCGGTGGTTAGTGTGATAGACTCGTGATTGAAAGGTTTGGCATCGGGTCCTGACCCAGTCATTGCGCCGTTTTTGTAGGCAAAAGAGTTCCTTCTTACGGTGTATTTCTTCCCTCTGGGGTATATATAGTCTTGTTGAATACCCAGGGAAATATGATGAAATTCTGGGAAGGGGAGGAGTGAGAAGGGGAATCCTGTGATGACCTTGAATTGGATTAGCAATACTCCCTGTCGACTCATGCTACGTAATTCAGTAGCAATGGAAACTAGGTTCGCATGCCGATCTTTATATACAGTTTCTCTTGAAGGACAGCTTCGATCTCTTCATAACTTGTGTCCACACAGTTTATGAAAGGCAAACGATTGTAACAATAGGGAAATGTTAACCTCCCTTCTTAATAAAAGATCTAAGGGCATGAGATTAATAGATAACATTAAATTTTGTTTCTAGTCTCCTCACGGCTACGCGAAGAAACTAAAGGAACTATTGGAGGAAAAGGATGGCAAAGGAGCGGCCAGAAGGTGGTGTATTTAAAATTGTACATAAGAGCTTAAAATCTAGAGTTGAACTTGAAAACGAAAACAAGCAATAAAATCTTTGATCCTAAACCTGTCTTTTATGAAGTTTCAACCGCTGAAATTGTGGACGAGACGTAACTTAAATACTTGGAGCTAAGTTGAAATTTGTGCTCTGATTTGAAGACTAGTATGAAATTTTCTCGTATTTTAAGTAAATATGTTGCCGTGAGATCCTTTTCGTTTACTTTGAGAGCTAGAGAGCTTTTTCTTTGGGTTACACCATGCGTCTTGTAACTATATAATTTACTCGCCGTTAGTGACTTTTGTTTTCTTTTTATGACACAGGACGCTTGAAGACCGTGATTTGGAGAAGAGAATTAAGGTGCACATGGAAAAGTTAAAAGAGCACCGAGGCAAAACGTACGGATCGATAGAGGAAGAGCTTGAATCTGCAAGAAAGAACCTAGAAATGGTAAGTGAAGCTTTATTTTTTGGGACCAGTGAAGTTTCGATCAAAAAAGAAACGAAACAGGGACAAGACAAATGAATTATTAAGTTTCTGTTTTAGAACAATTTTCGATTGAGTGTCGTAAAACCAAAATTATCAACTCGACCAATCAGATGAAAGGTAGATACCCTAAAGAGCCAATGAAAACTTGAAACTAACTACCTGAACCGCGGGAAAACGCGGGTAGCCAAGATTGGTTTTAGTTTTGCTTCTGATTGGTTGAGAAAGTGGCGCGAGTTTTCTGGGCCAATCACATAACGAAGTAAAGCAAAAACAAAGCAATTTCGGATCACTTTCGACACTCAATTGAAAATTACATTAATCAAGGTATTCCTGTGAACTGAGCTAAGTACATAGTTGTTAGCAAACGAAATGCAAGGAACATAGAAGTTGTCACAAATGAGAAATTCATTTTTGCACCGGGCTTAATGCAATAATAAAGTATAAGAATTAGAAGTGTATTGAAGTTCATATTCAAAGAGAACAACCATCCTTGAATGAACAATTACACCATGTAAATCTAAAACTATCCTTTTAATTCTCACACTTTCATGCTTTATCTCCTTTCTTGTTGTCATCATTCATCATAATTAGCATTGTTCTAATTACTATATAATTCAACTTCCAACGCTTTGTACAGTAATTAACTGAAGACGACAGAAGTTTCTGTCGAAACATGTTTTACAGACTCAAAAGTTTTGTCGCTTTCTTTTAATTCTTGACTTGCTTGCTAATATCAAGACCCTGTATTGAAGTTAATGTAAATATCTTGTTCTAATTCACTGGATGCGCCCCTCTCCGTTTGGTGATCAGGGTGCTTACTCTACCAACCTCATAACCTCTTAACCATTTACACCCTAACATCAGTATGCAAATTCTCCATGCTGTTATCCTTATATTTCCTATGGTACTCACAAGGAGAATTTGTCTAACAATCAAGAACTTTTTGCGTTTGCGTTTATCTCCTTTATTCTCATGGCCTTAATGTTTGATCCATGTGTGATACTGTTGGGAGAAATTAGATGCTTATCACTTTAAGTGGTTAAAGCGTTAATCAATTCTCCCTAACTACAGGAATTTACATCAATGTTTTGAGAAAGAAAAGTCAGATTTTTATCATTATTTGTTTGATGACAGGCTCGTGAGTTTCAGCGTGAAGTCAAAGACAGAAAACAGTTGGAATATCGCTTGAGGGCCTTTACTGGAGACGATGTGTCGTCTATGACCCGGAACACAAAAGAAAAGACAAAAAACGCTCCGAAATAAAGATCAACTGCTCGGATAATGTTATGTACATAAGATTGTGGAGAATTTTACACAGAGTGGTGTCTGAGTTATGTTTTAAGATTAATATATGATGAACGTTTTCTATGATTTATAGCCGTTGGTTACGAAAGGAATTATTTCAGAATGTGTCATATTTATACTTTTGAAAATCACAATACTTTTAGTTTCCTCACCAGTGCTGTTATTCACTGTGCAAAAAATAAAGAGATAAAGATCACCATCACTGAGCTTGATTTATGCTGCATCACTTGGTGATTATTTCGGATCTGGTGTTACGACGGGCGCTATTTGACTGTTGAAAATATTCGATGTTTGAGAGCTTGGCATGAATTTAGAATACATATTTGAGAAAATAGAACTGGATGTTAAATCTCCGCGACAATTTCACAACGAAGGTTTCCGAAACTTGAGCACACTGTTTCGGAAAGCCGCGCATATTCATTGCTGTGTCGCCGCTGTCTCTTGATAGAGTCCTTACTTAAGGTGCCCGTTAACGAAGGCTTGACTGTGACTAAAGATTGAATGACTTGGCCTTAGCCGAGGTAAAGCAAGCATGCCCAGGGGTTTCTAGCCTGGTTTCCAGGAACAGAGCCCTAGAATAAGTATGAAGACTGCGACAAAAGAGCAAAATAAGTAGTAATTAGAATCAATTGATTTTGCTCCTTGCTAAATGATAACAGCCTTCTTATCTCTAAGTTTTCACGGAGAAGAGAACACGGATGCCCATGTGACTTAAACGAAAATAGGTATAAAATCAATCAACAGCTTTCAGTCAGCTCGGTTTGCCTTCCGCTTGGATCTGCTGTAATCTTTATTGATATGCTTAGCACGGACTGGACCGCAGAATTAATGAATAAACCACACAACAGCAATCAAATATGTAAAGGAGAAACAAATCCTGTTCCAAAGAACCCCACAGTTAAATTTGGAGAATGCGGGATTCTTTCGTAAGCTTACAAAATTGAGTAAGGTTTATCGTACGCGCTGAAGCGCGTAAGTAATTAACGCACGTGCTCGCTCCGTTTGTTTGCGTCACAATCAAGGGAACTTACGCCGAATAACAAAGAAGCAACAACGACGAGCAGCTACAAGGATTGAGTGCTTCTAAGCAATCAACAGTGGTTTGTGAGAGCTGGACCAATCATGCGGCTAGAGTCAAATGCGTCTTTTTGGTTTGCCGTGGCATTCTCAAGAACGACGATGGAGCAGTAGTTTCACGATACATGGGTTTTGAACGAAACACGAAAACAATCTTCACGATTCGACGGTGTGTTTTTTCCAGGTTTCTTAATGTAACTCTGGATTAGTTTGGACACTTGCTTAAAAATTGCCCAAATCATGAAGATCTGTGCTCATTTCAGTTATCCAATGTCTAAAATTTAGGATTTCGCCTTTTGCTTTTAACTTTGCATGGAACTGTTACACGCAGTTCGAGCTTTTTTATGGGTAACCCTCACAAAATTAGTAGGCTTTGAATGGAAATGTTACCTTAACTAGCCACAAAGTAAACGCTTTTATTCAGTTTACATGGAAATGATGTGTTTCACTAAGTAAAACTTTCAACCGGATTTAGCAGTTTTTCATAAAAAAATCTAGATTCTGCGCAAATCGATTAGCAAAGAAGCTTACATCTAAACACAACTGGAAAGTAAGAGCCGACCAGCATTAAGCACTCGACTTTCAGTTTAGTCAAGGAAAGAAAAAGATTTCTTTACTTCATCTGTCAATACCAGCAATGTAGAAAAACATGAAACATCTATCAAAGAAATCACGAAAGAAAATAACTTAAAGAGGAAATTTTTCTGCGAAAGCCAAATGTTAGCTGTGTCTTCTTGATAAATCATCTGCAAAATGAAAAATTCCATGACTGTGGAAAAGCGGATCGCCATAGCAACACAGACCCAAATTTGCACATGCGCTACCAAATCGCTAAAGTAATTTACATATCCTTCGCTCCTCGTGGTTGAAAATGGCGCAGAATTTAAATTTGCAACGTAGAAAACAACTTGAGAAACAGAGGCGGACGACGAAAACTGAGAGATTGTTAGGAACAGTACGGCGAACGTGCGCGGGCAGCCTACATTTTGGATCTGACGAGTAACAACGAGGAGAACAAGGTAAGAATTGTAATATTTGAACCGAGGATGTAATGGCTCCGGTGTGCAGGAGAAATTTACGCTGCAAAATAGCCGGTGAAATTTAGTATTACATTTAAGGAGTTGTGAAATTTGTTGAGAGGCTGAAGGGTTTGTGGGTTTTTAGGCGTTAAAAACCTCTTGTCCTGGATTGAACCTGGAGATAAAACTGAACAGCAAGCTTGATGCTTTCACTCCCCAGATCTTTTAGTAATTCTCCTTACTCTCTGTCATACAATTCTTATGGTGTTAGTTCGGTGAATTTGGGATTTAATCGATTAATAATTCCCAAATTGATTCTATTTTATCTCTTTACTTATCTGCTTGAAATTGTATTGATATTGTAAGGAAATTTCCTGTCTTGGTCACTAATGGGAGTTGAAGGGTTAATTTCATAGCAAAAATCATCATTACATGTGGATGACTATTTATGTAATACACTGAAACATATATTCACATTGTGATTAGTTCTTATCTTTGATCTATTGGAGGACAGAAGCACAGTTGATATTTCTGTTTACCAACAATAATTTATCTCTTTACTATATGAAATAAATAGTTTCCATGCTGCTGTGTCAGTCACAGGAGACATCAAGATGTGATAAAAACGTCAGTGACACACTCCACTGCCCCTTGTGCACAACTATTTTGTCCTTACCACATTTTGACATTATCTGTGACCTATAACTGAACAGAAACATGGCAACATGGAGTCTATTTGTGAAATAGACTTGAAGAGTGTAATGCATTGCTTGGTCAGATTAAGATTTTATATGAGTAGATTGGGAGTTTATGCAGCTAATTAAAAGAACCCAAGTGTAATTCTACAGCTTCCTTTCATCTGTCTTCTCACTCACTTTTACACTGAGTTGTTTACAGTGCAGTTCAAAGATAAGGGGACATTGCAGACTATATTTACTATACAGTTGTCTGACATGTATGCGTCTGTTAACGGACTAGTCTGAAAATGCTTTTAGACAAAGTGGATGTGCCACTGTTATTTACTAGCATATTTTTGCGTTGTGTGCTATCCTGTTCCATAACAAAAGAAATGGTGATGTAAATTCATAAACTTTTATGAAAATGTCAATGAATACTGTCTTATGCAAATTGTAGATTATATCTTTGATTTTATTGGGCAAAACAAGATTTTTTTAAAAGTTTCTATGATACACCGTTCACACCTAATAGTTATTTTTTGGCAAGGAAGAGTTTGTTTTCTCTAACCAGTCTATAACTATTATACTATTGTGACTTTTGAAGTGTCACAGCGAGAAAAGAGAAAATTACTTCTTTGGTTCTCATAATAACAGTTTTCTAATTGAAACTTTCTACAATAAGCTGATAAAATCTACTTGATTCTTCTACAAGGGAAAGTTTGTGTTTTTGCATTTTTTTTTTGCTCTTTTTTTTCTTTTTTGTTGTGTTTTTGTTTTTAAGCATAGGGTGCAGACAAGAAGCTATGGTGAATAAGTTAGGGTGTAGTGTCCCAGCAAACACTGAGAAAATTATGTCTTGGATTGTAAGGCACAAATGATCTGTTTTAAAGACATTTTCTTTCTTTTAACTATGATGGACCCAACAGTAAAGTGATATTTGGTAAGCAAACCTTGATGAAATTTGCCAGCAAGCAAAATGTGTGAAAATTTAACAAGACCACAGCTTTCAAAAGACAAACACAACCAAAAGAAATGCAAGATGATTGACTGATATTTGGTGTAGCTTAACCACCAGTTTTAACTGCAATTGCAGTGCTTTTCAATAAGATGTAGATTTAATAAGGTGGCTGCTAATGGAAAATAATTTCCTTCTTGTAATAGCCCATTAGTTTCATTCAGGATAAACTGGCTTCAAATGGAGTTTTTGGTGTTTAACTTTAATAAATTGTCATTAAATATTAGTTTTCTTTGTAACAATTGTTTAACTGATCATTTTATTTCTAATCAAAATCTTCTATTTGCTGACATGCAAACCTGCTCCTTGAGTTTCACAAAAGTCCTCTCAAAGGACATACAGTTACTTGTTACCAAAATTTGAGTTTTTTTGTTCTTGGAAACTCAAAATCTTTCTTTTCAGGAAATGTTGTGTAATGATTATAAGACAATATCAGTCATTTTTAGAAGAACTTTTTCATTAGGGTAAAACTCTAAAAGATCTTGAGATGTTTTAGGTTTCACTTAATGAGTTTGCTTGAATGCTTCCAAAAAATCACAGAAAGATTTAGAAATTCAACATCGCATAATACTAGACACTTTCAACAGGCAATCTACAAAACCAAAACAAGATAGTATCCTGTGTGTATCAAATTTCCCTATGAACGATCTCAAATTTTGATGCTTTGATTCAAACCTTTCTTCCTCTGGCCGAGCCAGATTCTATGTTTTCCATTCAAACATCACTTTTTGACTCACTTTGTGACATGATAGTTTTCTGCTTACAATTGGAAACAAACCTATCAGTCTCCTGGGTCAAAATGCAGAAAGCATTCTTTTGTGATCGCAAACTTTTTTTTTTACTGTGTGAAATTAAAGTTACATGGTAGTGAATTCCATGAGTTTTATTAGAAAAACCCTAGGATTATTTTTGTCTGGAGAAGCATTGATACATTTAGCCAATGAATTCCAACTGTTCCCGTGACTTGTTTTTCACATCAGATCATAAACTATTGTCAATTGTCTGATTGCTGTGCAAAAAATAACAAAAAGTCACTCAACTACTCGCATTCTGGCTAACCAGTAACCAGCAATGTAGCTTTTATTTTTTGATAAAAGGTTAGACACAAAGTATTCAATGGCCATTTTTGTTCCTCTCTTTGTAGTTAAGCCTTGAGTGAGCCATTTAATGCAAACTTTTTAAAAATCTTTGCCGAAAACTTGCAAATTTGAATCATGTGTGTTATTGACTGGTATGCTATTTTAACAATTTTGACTATCAGTTTGTTCTCTGACTAGCAGTTGAGAAGAATTGTTGTTGCCTGAAAATTATTTTAAGTAAGAGATGATGTGTACTTCTACTTGGCGTGATGAATTTATGAAGAACACGCAAAACAAGCACAAAAAGAAAACTGCCAATGAAAGAATGA